TTATAATTAAGTACAAGTTACAAGACATCGTTTGGAGTCATTGGAATTAACTGCGTACCACTCGATTGTCAGGTTAAGTTAGAACCTAGCCGCGGTCAAACATTATTGGTGCCGCTTGAATTCGAAGCTATCGACAGACCGCAAGACACGAAGAAAATTAGTAGTAACTTTTTTATATAACAGCTATATACATTTAATAACATGTAATATTTCTGTTATATAACTGCAACTTTTTATGAGTGAGAAATTACAACTAACATGTAATATGTTTGTAACGTACACATTATATTACGTGTACATTTCGTTATATTTACGACAATGTAATTGTTATGTAACTGTGTTTATTGGGATAGTTCATCGAGTATTTACGAGGGCTGTTTGATAAATCATTTCATTTTCAAGATAACTTTGAAATGAAAAAATTTTTTTTACCGAAATTCGATTTATTTTTCCACACAGGATTTGTTCTTTCTGGAGCTGGACTTTCCATTAGGTCATTAAATATGAAATGTCCGAATTTCGAATCAAAAGTTTGGAATCAAAGTTTAGTTTTATTATATCTCAAATAGAAATAGTACTATTAATCAAAGTATGTGCTTAAACTATCAACACAGTCCATCTTAATGGGTAGCTTATTTATGTCAAACAGTGAAGAAGCCTGAAAAAGCGGGTGACGATGAGATCGCGAAAGGCGTTTTCCACAGCTTGTATGAGAATTTAAATATTTTTCCTTGTAAGAGATAGCCCAATGCCCTGGAAGAAGTGGTAATCAGTTAGTACAAGGTCTTGATGAATATGGTGCGTGACGGAAAGTTTCCAAGTCCTGTAGCTTGAGCAGCTTGTTTATGCGATATGTGGTCAAACGTTCTCTTGCAAGAAGATTGGCCTGTCCGTATTGATCAATCTCAGCTGCTTAATCACAAGCAGCCTCATCATTTCGTCCAATTGCTTACAGTAAACATTCGCTGTAATCGATTGACAAGTTTCATGAAGCTTATAGTGGATTATAACAGCGCTGGACCACCAAACAGACAGCGTTAGCTTTTTTTGATGAATATTCGGTTTTGGACTGTGTTTCGGCATTTCATTATACATCCAGCCATTATACCCAGTACTTGCGATTGTCGAAAAAGAATCCATTTTTCATCACATGTAGCAATACGATTAAAAATGTTCGCCTTTATGTCGCGATGATAAAAAAGGCAAGCTTCCAAACGATTCTCTTCTGACGCTCGTTTAACCCTCTTGCAGTTATATTTACTGGCAGAAATTAGTATCAAAATGGTTAAATTTTTTCTACAGAGGAAAATATTTACTTTCATGTTTTATAATAGTTTTCGAAACGTGTTGATTTCAAATTTGAGGTTGTTGCAGAATTCAAAATGGCGGATCAAAAATGGCAGACCTGCAAGTAGTAAATCTTACCCCGAGTTAGACTCGGGTCTAACCATAAGCCGGTTAATTCATGCAGAACCCATCTATCCAGCTTCTTTACTTTGCCGATTTGACTCAAATGATCCAAGATCGTTGGAATACTAACGTTAAACTTTGCTATTTAATTCACGCGTAGTTTGAGATGTATCTGCTTCCAGTTATAGCTTTCAGCTCTCATGATCCACCTTGGTCTTAGGGTCGCCCACTTAGTTGGTCTTAGGTGGCTCACTTTCAAGATTAAAATCGCAAAAGAATGAAACTTCTCAAACCATAGACATACTATGCGTTCATTAGCCACATCTTCACCAATTCGTTGATATTTCGAGTTGTCTGCGCTGCATTGGATTCATGACGGAACTCATATTCGAAAATAACACGAATTCTTTGGCTTATTCATGGTTACACAAAAATTGCTGTAACAAAGACATTTCGAAAGATAATCACAAACCAAAATATGCGTTTAAAAGGAGTGATGATGACTTTTAAAACAAAAAACCAAGAACTATAAAAATCAAAGAAATATCAGAGATATCGATTGCCGAACTTAGTACTTCAAGAAATCGGACTTTATATTTTAATAATTAATAACCTAATATAATTAATAACCTAATAACCTAATATTAGTTCGAGAAGTATACAATGAAGCGTTTTTTCTAGCAGAAATGACGTCAGATGTTACTGTCCTCTTCATCAGTACAGCAGAACTTAGTACAACAATTCATTGTACTGCTTATACTAGGTCTGAAGTTAGTACAAGCAATTCAGTATTGCGAGGACAAAATTTACACTAGTTTCGGCAGTAAAATTTGAAAAGAACAGATATACAGTTACTCGATTTATTCTCGGTTATTAGATACTTCTGCAGTTTTTACTTTATTAATATTAATCAATTTTGTCATGTGAAAGAACAGTATATTCCTATCATGCTCTCCATCCCCAGATAGGTTCTACATGTAATGAAGGTAGATAAAGGCAAAATAAATCTTCTTCGTCTGAAGAATCATTAACAGATACAATAATGTATTGCGCTATGTTGTTTCTTGCATTGTGGCGTTCTTTTCTATCCTATCTGGCATTTCTGCACCTATGAACTTTTGCTGTATTCATTAGTTCTAGTTCTAAACCAATGCAGTTCCAGTGCAGCACTGGTTCAGCTGAAAAGAATAGACCCATAGTCTCTTTTTAGTTCGATACATTTTGCCCAATGGTTTTTCAAACTTCTTTAAGCCTTCCAAAAATACGATTTTTCAAATTCTGCAAAGTAGATGTTTGTTTCAGCGATGGTTTTTTTTCCGCCGAGCAAATTTCTTCATGTTTACAAAGAGAAAGAAGTTGCATGGAGCCAAATCTGGAGAATAGAGTAGATATGAGGGAGCAGTTCGTAGCGCAATTCGATAATTTTGGCCATGGCAATTGCAGACATGTAAGTTGGTACATTGTCGTGATTAAAGAGAATTTTTTTCTTTGCTAAATGAGGCTGCTTTTCCATCAATTCAGCGTGAAATCGATCCAATAAAGAGGCATACTGTCCTGTAATCGGTTTTCCTTTCTCCAGGTAGTCGATAAAGATTCTACCATGCGAATCCCAGAAAATCGTGGCCATAACTTTTTCGACAGAAGAAACTATTTTTGTCTTCTTCGGAGCACATTCATCAGGAGGAATCTAGTGTTTTGATTGCTCTTTTATCTCTGAAATGTATCAGTGAATCTGTATTTCATCAACGGTTACATATAGCCGTAAAAAACTCACTTGGATTGCGCTTGAACATGTCCAAACGCTGCTTTAAAATGGTCGCACAATTCTGTTTTTGGTCAACCATGAGCAAACGCGGTAACTATCCTGCTGATAGCTTTCTTATGCTCAAACATGTGAAAAACATGTTCGTTTGAAATGTTTATCATCTTGGTTATCTCGCGTATTTTTACTCGACAGTCGTCCAATGGATTTTATTGACCATTTCTTCAGTTGTGACCTCATTCGGATGTCTTATTCGGGCGCTTAATATGATTCGTGCTTGTATAGTCACAGCGAAATTCAGTGAACCGCTCGTGAATTATTTCGTGTGACGGAGCAGATAATACTGTTTCGGCATTTCTTCAGTTGTCTTAAAAGTTTTTCCACGCAAAAAATACTGCTTTATCAGCATACGAAATTCACTTTTTTATAGCAAAGAAACACTAACTTTTCCGTTTTCGAACGTTACCAAAAAGTTTCTGTTTGACAGATCTACTTAAAATTTTTTGTGTATAATTAAATAAAACAGTGAATGTCAAAAATAAAATTAGACTTGCAATTTGAACGCCATTTCTTGTCAAAATCACTGACTTATTAAATAGCCTTTGTATTTATTTATCTAGATCTGTATTTACGAGAAGAAGAATCTTTAATTACAGAAATCTTTCACATTACAGAATTCTTTAGTTTGTAGAAATCGTGGCTTGAAAGTATTGGGTTGCTCGGAAAGTAATTTCGGTTTTTTTCATGAGAATGAAAGACGATATTTTTAATAGGAAGAAAAGTTTTATTCTGTTAAATATTAACCATTTTGTTCTAACCTTTTGCCATCTTTGAGGTAATAACATAATTCCATGCTCGTAGAACTTCTGATCCTTATTGGCAAAAAACTGAATTATGTGATTTTTGACACTTTCATTTGAATCGAAATTTTTACCATCCAAAGAATTTTGCAGTAATCGAAACAAGTGATAATCGATGCCAAATCAGGTGAATATGGTGGATGCGGTAGCAAATCCCATCCAAGCGCTAAGTTTCTGGCTAGTCATTAAACTTATGTGAGGTCTGGCGTTGGCTCATGATGACACACAACACCTTTTCTGTTCGCCAGTTCTGGTCTCTTCTGCTTGATGAAATCATTCAATCTGTCTAATTGTTGAAAATATACATTCGAATCAATCGTTTGGTTGTTTGGTAGCAGCTCAAAAAAAACCATTCCTTTCCAATCCCATCAAACAGAAAACATCATCTTCTTTTGATGGACATCAGCGATGTGCTTTGAGCTGGTTCATTATGTCTGCTCCATGATCTTTTGCATTTAATATTTAATATTATTGTACACAATCCATTTTCCATCTCCCGTTGTGAGTTGCTTCAGAAATGGATCGTTTTCCTTACGTTTCAACAGCAAATCATAAATTAATGCGACGAATCAAATCTCTTTCTTTGAGAACGTATGGAACCCAAATATCGTGCTTTGAAACGAAACCAAGTTGTTTCAAATGCTCAACCATGGTCGAATGTTCGATAAATTCAATCTCTCAGCAATTTCTTGTTTTGTTAAATGACGATCTGCGTCCACCAATGCCTCTATTTGGTCTTCATCAGCCTCAACTGGCCTTTCAGAACGTGGTGCATCTTTGAGGTCAAAATTCTAGAACGAAATTTCGAAAACCAATTCTGGCACTGGCGTTCAGTCAACACATCCTCTCTATACACGGCACACAATTTTCTTCTTGCTTGCGCTGCATTTTTGCCTTTACAATAATAAAAAAGCAAAATATAATGAAAATATGTCGGTTTTCCATTTTTGATGCGACGTCAAACAAAAACAACTAGACAGATTCCAAAACAACTTTTTTTTAATAAAGCTCGAAACGTGCGTTGTAAAAATGTAAAATGATTTTCTGGTTTAGAATGAGGTTGACTGCTTAAAAGGGTAACTAATATCATTTATTTGAAAAAAACCGAAATTACTTTCCGAATAATTCAATAAGTTAGACGGATTTAATATAAAAATACATATTAGCGAGATAAGATGTTAATCTTTCCATTGTGGATGACTTGAATGCAAAGTGCACCATAAAGCAAACATGTTGCAATGACGATATGAACAAAGAGACAAAAACAAATAGCGCACCGATCTCACCTCATACATTAATTCCATTTGTTGCCGGGTGATATATGTGCCGTCTTCAAAAGTCATCGAACTATCGGTGGTCATCTTAGAGATGTGGCTGAGCCACACTTCGAAGAAACCGACCTTGATTAGAATCAGTTGGTCGTCCTGAGAGAGTTCACAGAATCCCGGCACTCGTTTCGCGAATTCCACCACCCTCTGAACCGATGGCGTCACTCTAACGGCGAATTGCTGCCACAACCAGATCCTCTGCGACTCGACAGTCTCCGCCGTGGAGGAGGCCGCTTCCGGGTCTTCCGGACTGGCGGGCTGCGAAGAATTACTCGCCTAATCAGCAAGATCATAAAACAAACCTGCATTGCTGCCGGCTTTAGCGAGAAAAGTCGTATCTTTTTTTCTCTTTCTTTTTCTCTCTCTACATATAGCTTACCGGTATTATCATCGGCTTCCTTACGAGCCCTCTCACCGAATCCTCCGTGAAGCCGCAATGCGCCTGATGCGCCTGCGACACTTGGAGGATTAAATCGTACACGGCCATTTTTACGTCGGCATCTGATTGATCGGCTTCAGCCACTGCTGCCGACGGTACTCGCGACACTGCGTTCTGGCTCTGGCTGTTGTTATTGTTGTTGTTTTGGCTACTGTTGTTGTTGTTGCTGGCGCTATTGTTGTTGTTGTTGTTGTTGTTGTTGTTGCTGCTGCTGTTGTTGTTATTGTTGTTGTTGTTACCAGTACCAGGTGAAGTCAGTTGCTGCATTCCTGTAGTGGTAGTGGTAGTGGTGGTCGTCGTCGTTGTACTCGTCGACATCGAGTCCTCCGGACCACGTTCTCTCGAGCGTTTCGGCACCCTGCCGTATCTGACGGCTACAAATTGGCACAAATCACCGATTATTTCACTTGAGCGATCGACAAAAGGCTAGAAAGCAAAGTGCAAGAGAGACTGGAAGAGAAGGAGAGGGAGAGGGAGAGAGAGAGAGAAAGAGAGAGAGAGAGAGAGAGAGAGAGAGAGAGAGAGAGAGAGAGAGAGAGAGAGAAAGAGAGATTCGTTTGACGATTTTGGCTCCTAATGAAATTTTTATTCTCACGAGTCGCTAAATTAAATCATGATTTCACACGCAGTTTCGAAAAACTTCATCGTTGTGACTTTGAAACTTTCTCCAGAGCAGAAAGTATACATGAGAACATTAACATGTACATTTCGGATTCTTATACTTGAATGCGACAGAGTGCTGCTACGCCAATTCGTCTACATGAGTTCATCAAAATTTTATTTTCGACATGCGGACGATGAGCATAGTACGACCTCTTTAGTCGAGAATGCGCATAGTAGCCGCATATCGCGCGCGTTGCAACTTCGACACTTAATTATGTACACAACTGTCCTTTGGTTTGTTTTGCTCGCTCTCTCTCTCTCTCTCTCTCTCTCTCTCTCTCTCTCTCTCTCTCTCTCTCTCTTTGCGTTGGGTAAAAGACTGCAGATGTGTCAGACCAGGCTGATGAAGGCGATAATAAGATGTAATATATATACACCAATTAATGATATAGTATAGATGCATCGCAATTTTTAAGGGTCAGTAAGTATACAAGTTAATGTGTATATTTTTATATGGAAGATGTTAAAAGGAGAATTAACAGAATATCTTAAAAAGAAAATTATATTACGAAACGAGGTGCATGAATATAATACCCGGTATAATACTTATTTCCATACTGAAATGCATCGAACTGTAAATGCACAAAGAGATTTATTTTGTAAAGGACTAAATCAAGAGGCACACTGTGCCTATATTATGCGAAACTGCGAGTTCAAAGGAGGTGAAATATTCATATCTCAGCAATGGCTGAACCGATCGAGGTTTTTTAGTCCCAATCGATTCGGCCTTAAAAAATAGGCAAAATGTTCTTGTGATTTTTGTGTACGTTATCTCCAAGTGGAGGTATTTTAAAATAAAGTTCGAATCACGGAAAATTTCGATTCAATAAGAAAGTAAGTAAGAAACGTCGAACGCATAAAAGTAGGGATATATGTACATCTCGCTTTTCCAACATCAGGGGCGCTACGAGAGCGCTGAAGAATCGGACAGAAGCGAATGCGAGCGAGTAAGCAAGAGATATGCTAAAATACAGTATAGGAGAAAATGTGCGAGAGAGAGAGGAGAGAGGGGAGAGAGAGAGAGAGAGAGAGAGAGAGAGAGAGAGAGAGAGAGAGAGAGAGAGGAGAGAGAGAGAGAGAGAGAGAGAGAGAGAGAGAGAGAGCGAGCGGGAGAGAGAGAGAGCGGGAGAGAGAGAGAGCGGGAGAGAGAGAGAGCGAGAGAGAGAGAGAGAAAGCGGGAGAGAGAGAGCGGGAGAGAGAGAGAGCGGGAGAGAGAACGGGAGAGAGAACGAGAGAGAGAACGGGAGAGAGAACGGGAGAGAGAACGGGAGAGAGAACGGGAGAGAGAACGAGGGAGAGAACGGAAGAGAAAACGGGAGAGAGAACGGGGAAGAGAACGGGAGAGAGAACGAGAGAGAGAACGGAAGAGAGAACGGGGGAGAGAGAGAGGGGGAGGAAGGAGGAGAGAGAGAGAGTGGGAGAGAGAGAGAGTGGGAGAGAGAGAGAGAGCGGGAGAGAGAGAGAAAGTGGGGGAGAGAGAGAGCAGGAGAGAGGACGGGAGAGGGAGAGAGGGAGAGAGAGAAAGAGAGAGAGAGAGAAAGAGAGAGAGAGAGAGAGAGAACGGGCGAGAGAGGAGAAAGAGAGAGGCATAAAAAGGTGAGAATACTGGTATGCGTCACGGTATGTTATAACGCACGTCATTTGATTGCCGGTCAGCTGATGCTGAGCAGACGATGTCTGTGCCACCGATAAATCAATACCAGTGCTTATTGACGTTGTCCAGGGAGATCGCTCTTCAATTTTAAGGTCTGCTTGATACAATTTATAACGCAAGTGGTGCAGGTAATATGCGAATTAGATGAAGATAATTTACAAGTAAGTATAAATTTATGACATTTACATATTAATGGTGTATGTACGTGACGTATATACAATGTAACTTGTGATATATAATATAAGGTATATTATAATAAAAAAAGGCCCCAAGTACAAACACAACACGTATTGCGTTATTTTTAGAAACTTCAAATTCAAATTATTTTTTTAAGTTATATATGTGTACATAACATAAGTTTTTACAAGTAAAACTTATAACTATAATAAAACTCTACAACACTATTCTACTGTACAAAAGAAGTGATATATTAAAACAGTAGCGCCAACTAAGAAACCTAACATATACAGGGTGCACGATTTATCTGAAGACATTGAAATATCTCGAGGACTATGCATTGGATAAAAAAAAGTGGTTAATGAAAGTTGTTAGTCTAGAAGGGGGACATCCAATGATACCAAACTCGACCTCCCACCCCACCCCCTGGGGGTGGAGGTTGGGGTCAACTTTGAAATCTTAAATGGAAACCCCCATTTTTTATTGCAGATACGGATTCTACGCCACAAAATACGTAAATTTTGTCCGAAACTTTTTTTTTGATTCGTGATAGATGGAGCTGTAATCGCAAAAAATTATATTTTCCGCAATTCTCGAGAAATGATCATTGGATTGAGAAATAAAAAATACCTGTTCAATATTTTTAAAGGACATAATAAAAGTTATTCCCCCCCGATCCTCTCGGGGTAGGGTGGGTGGTAACGTTCAAATCTGCATGACGGTTGCCCAGCGCATAACTCAATAGCAGCATGGAAAGTATTAGACCGTGATTACAATGGTCGGTGGATTGGCAGAGGTGGCTCGATTAATTGGCCTGCTAGGTCGCCTGATTTGACATCGCCGGATTTCTTTCTGTGGGGTTACCTAAAAGATAAGGTTTATCAACAAGTGCCAACAACTCGTGAAAACATGGTAGGACGCATAAGAAACGCTTGCGCTGAAACTCCCGCAGATATGCTTCTATCCTGTGTACAGTCATTTGAAAAAAGGATCAATAAGTGTATTGAAGTTGAAGGTAAAAATTTCGAACACTTACTCTAATTAATTGAACAGTGAGAGGCAAGGGGACTCACATTAAAAAAGCACCCCGATCTGTGAGAGGCAAGGGGACTCACATTAAAAAAGCACCCGAAGGAAACATAAAACTACTACGTCCTCGTCGTTGTTCCTGTGTAACGCTAAAAGTAGTTTCTCGGAAAAATTCAACGCTATCTATCACGAATGAAAAAAATTGTTTCAATAAAAATTTCACGTACAATCTAATTCTGCAATGAAAAATGTGGGTCCCCATTTGAGATTTGAACGTTATCACCCACCCTACCCCGAGAGGATGGGGGGGGAATAACTTTTATTATGTTCTTTAAAAATATTGAACAGGTATCTTTTATTTCTCAATCCAATGATCATTTCTGGAGAATTGCGAAAAATATAATTTTTTGCGATTACAGCGCCATCTATCACGAATCAAAAAAAAAGTTTGGGACAAAATTTACGTATTTTGTGGCGTAGAATCCGTATCTGCAATAAAAAATGGGGGTTTCCATTTAAGATTTCAAAGTTGCCCCCAACCCCCACCCGCAGGGGGTGGGGTGGGAGGTCGAGTTTGGTATCATTGGATGTCCCTTCGAGACTTTCAACTTTCATTAACCACTTTTTTTTATCCAATGCATAGTTCTCGAGATATTTCAATGTCTTCATAAATCGTGCACCCTGTATATATGATTATTATATGCTTAATATATAACATAAGTTTTTACAAGTAAAATTTATATAAAACTTACCTTTTTAAATAAAAAGGTAAGAAAAAGGCGCCAAGTACAAGCGCAACACGTATTGTGTTATTTTTAGAAATTTCAAATTCAAATTATTTTTTTAAGGTATATATGTGTACATAACATAAGTTTTTACAAGTAAAACTTATAACTATAATAAAACTCTACAACACTATTCTATTGTACAAAAGAAGTGATATATTAGAACAGTAGCGCCAACTGAGAAACCTAACATATATACAGGGTGTCCGGAATGTGATCATTAATATTTTGTGTACTGGTAGATTGGGTGTAGCCGAGAAGAAAAGTCATGTACCATAATGTCAAATTGGCAATAGTTATCGAGTTATTAATTGAAACATGTGAGCCAATGAGCGCGTAGAGAGTGCTGGGCGGCAGCCTTTTGTCGCTTACGGTTGCCTCTCGCCGCGCGAGGTAAGCTATCTTCTTATACATAGAGCCCGTCCTGTCGCTTTCTCGTGCGCTCATTCGTTTACACATTTTAATTAATTACGGAATAAATATTGAAAAAATTATAAAACGACACAGGACTTTTTAAATTATTTTAACCAGTTCTACCAGTACACAAAATATTAATGATCACATTCTGGACATCCTGTATATATATGATTATTGTATATTTAATATTTTTAGAAATCTCAAATTCAAATTATTTCCTTTTTTAAGATATATATTATGTACATAACATAAGTTTTTACAAGTAAAACTTATCAAATTATTTTCCTTTTAAGATATATATGTATATAAGCTTTTAAAAGTAAAAATTATATCGTGTTATAAAAATTTAACACGTTTATTAATAGTGTCCAATATTTAAAAAAAATATCTTTTTGAAGGTTATTGTTATTCAAGAAAAACTTAGTTACAAAAATTATCTATAACATAAATTTTTACAAGTAAAATTTATCATTATTTCTTAGAACACTGAGTTATATGGTTATTTTACTTGTTGTTATAACAAATTAATTATTATAACAATGCAATAAAAAAATATTTAATACAAGAAATCTTGGCGTGGCTGCACCAAAAACATATCGAACTAAAACTTGTTTAATACATACATGATAGCATTTTTATTATAATAATATGTACTTGTAAATTCTCTCTATATATGTTATATACGGTGTAATGTTTTATTTAAGTTTATATATTGGGAGTACAAATTAGTTCGGTCCGCTTTTTTGTGTTAAAAGATGTATTTATTTCAAAACAAAATGAATGAACAGATCAATTAAAGTATTTTCCATCGCTGGCTAATACTTTCTCCCATTTCTCAGGCAATTTTCGAATTCTATCTTGAAAAAATGACTCGTCTTTTGAGGCGTCTTTTGAGGATTCAAGTTTGGAGCCAATTTTCGATACCTGCGAAAGAAGTGAACCGGTGATCTGCCAAATCGTGCTGCATCCTTCGGAACAACTAGTAATCAGAAGGAGCAACGTCCAGAGAATACAGCGGGTGCGGTAAAACATCCCATTTGAGCGTTTCCAAATATTTTTTTACGACTTTTGCGACATGAGACCGAGCGTTATCATGAAGAACGCCTTTCAACGTCTCTCGGTTTCAGTTCATAAGGCACCCAATTTCCTTGTTTTTGAATAATTCCTATGTCTCTTAATCGTACGGAAACGGCTTGTTGAGTCACTCTCAATGATTCTGCAAGTTCCTCTTGCGTTTAACTCTGATCTTCTTGGAGTAATGCCTCTAATTCTTTGTCCTCGAATTTTTTTGGCCGTCCAGAGCGAGGCTTGTCTTCGACGCTGAAATCTCCATCCTTGAAACGTCGAAACCATCCCCTATATGATTTATCAGTTGGAGCAGCGTCACCATAAACTTCAATAAGCATTCGATGGGCTTCAGCTGCACTTTTCTTCCAATTAAAGCAGAAAATTAAAACCTCCCACAAATGTTGCTTGGTTAACACAAAATTCGACATTTTCAACACTGTAAAAAGCAAGGTTTTTGTATGAAATTCAAAGCGATATAAACTGAATATTATTGGCAGATGTCTAACCTCTCTGAAACCGCCAAAATCGGCAGTCACTATGAACCATTCATAACAGCCGAAGCCATCTTTTGAAAATGGGCCGAACTAATTTGTACACCCAATAGTATTATAATAAATTATAAACTTTCACTATAGAATATATATATCGAATGTGTATATATTCTACATATTTTGATATTTTTTTATTCAAAGATATTATTCTTATTATAATTGACGAAATATCAATGATATCTAATTTGACTTTTATGTACATACATCTTCGATATAGTTTTTGGTGCAGCCGCGCCAAGATATTTTGTATTAAATATTTTTTATTGCATTGTTATAATAATTAATTTGTTATAATGACAAGTAAAATAACCATATAACTCAGTATTCTAACAAATAATGATAAATTTTACTTGTAAAAATTTATGTTATAGACATTTTTTGTAGCTAGGTTTTTCTTAAATAACAATAACCTTTAAAAAGATATTTTTTTTTAATATTGGACATTATTAATAAACGTGTTAAATTTTTATAACACGATATAATTCTACTTTTAAAAGCTTATATACATATATATCTTAAAAGGAAAATAATTTGATAAGTTTTACTTGTAAAAACTTATGTTATGTACATAATATATATCTTAAAAAAGGAAATAATTTGAATTTGAGATTTCTAAAAATATTAAATATACAATAATCATATATATATATATATAGATTTGTAAAAATATTAAATATACAATAATCATATATATATATATATATATATATATATATATATATATATATATATGTTAGGTTTCTCAGTTGGCGCTACTGTTCTAATATATCACTTCTTTTGTACAGTAGAATAGTGTTGTAAAGTTTTATTATAGTTATAAGTTTTACTTGTAAAAACTTATGTTATGTACACATATATAACTTAAAAAAATAATTTGAATTTGAAATTTCTAAAAATAATGCAATACATGTTGTGTTTGTACTTGGGGCCTTTGTCTTACTTTTTTGTTTAAAAAGGTAAGTTTTATATAAATTTAACTTCTAAATATGTATAATACGCTACCGGAATCACTAAAGAGTGAAGAGTCTGTAAAATTGTTCCGCAAAAAAATTACAGAATATGTAAAGCAGATGCGTTCTCATTAACTTAACTTAACTTAAGATGTATATTTATAGTCGGAGACTAATAAACAGATTTCTCTCTCTCTTCCTCTCTCTCTTTCTCTCTCACCCCTCCTCTCTCTCTCTCTCTCTCTCTCTCTTTCTCTCTCTTTCTCTCTCTCTGTCGGCATGAAGCAAGCAGAAAAGGTTTTGCATTACTAACAGTCAGAGAAGTACGATTCCCCAAGATTCCATTTGATTTTTTAACGGTGCCGCGCAATTTCTTCGACATATGCAAGTGTCGAAATAAGGAGCTCCGACGCAAATCGTGATACCGTATTTTTAATCACCGGAAAATATCTCGGTCATTTTCCTTCCGACGTTTCTTCTTCGATGTCAGTTTGTCACATTTTAGAATTGACCGATCGTCTTCGGGACGATGGCGACGACCAAATGTAAAAATGTCAGAGAACGCTCGCGCGATACTCACAATCTCTGGACATGCCGACGGCTAGGCACTTCTTGAATCTGCAGTACTGACAACGGTTCCGATTTAATCTGATGACGAGACACTTGCCGTCTCTCAAGCATCTGTACTCTATCTGCTTCTGTATGCTCCTCCTGAAGAAGCCCTGAACAGGAAGTAAAAGGAAATGCTATTAATAATGATCCCATAGACTGCCACGTGGTTAATTATATTTCTCCATCGGCGCATAAAATATGACACTCTTCACTTCTTCTTTTTTTTTATAATGCTGGGGGAAAAGCGCGGGAAAAACGAGCTAGAGCGTAGCGGAAAACGCGCTCGTGGGAAAAGCGGTTTCTTCGGACACTTTACACGCAATACATGTTAAAACGTGTCGTAGCCATTTTCCCGAATACAACTCCGCGTTACGGTCATATTGTAATTACGCTCACGTTCACGATCGACAATTAGCTAAATGATATCTTACTCGATGATGTATTAGAATCATATTTTCAACGGATCATTCGACAACATAATTCCTTCCAATCGCGACTCTTCCCTTGATGAAAGTTGTATCAAAGTTACAGTCGTTCACCGTGAATGTATTCACTTATTGAAGTTACGCATCCTGGAAAGTTCACACTTTCTCCCTGGTAATAAAATTCTCTTTTCAAATGTTCTCGGTTTATATATTCTGATAACCTATAACATGTACGCGCATGCGGAAGAGAGAGAGAGAGAGAGAGAGAGAGAGAGAGAGAGAGAGAGAGAGAGAGAGAGAGAGAGAGAGAGAGAGAGAGAGAGAGAGAGAGAGAGAGAGAGAGAGAGAGAGAGAGAGAGAGAGAGATGGTGGTGATTCTGGAACAACGTCGCGCATCCTACAACCTTTCACGCTATCGTTTATTACATAAACAACGGACGTCCGAAGTGTAAGTTCGCCGAGCGAAAAGCTCACGCGGAAGTAGTGGGATAATGGTGGCGATGTGTGGACGAGTGTGCGCGAGCATTCCGCCGCTGAAAGCATCGGTTTATTGGCTCATTACTACCGGCGTTAATTGATGGAAGGTATTCGTATAATGGCATCACGCGCGATAACAACAACGTCGACGTGTATCCCAACGTCTAATATCCTGAAATACCAGATAGGCCGACTACCTGTAATGTAACTGTCGATACTATTAGTAACCGATGGCGCGCGGGCCCAGCTCCCTCGGCTTGTTTCTAAAATCGATATGTCACGTCGCACCGGTCTATTTGTCTTCGTTGCTCGCGTGACGAGAGGGGGGAGGAGAAGGGGAGGTAACAATCGCAATTATTTCGGCGAATAGAAATCACATGCGGTGAGATTGTATTGTAAGTCGTAGAATCTTCCGGCAGGGGCAGGACGAGAAAAAGAAGACGAACGCGAACAGAGCTAATAAATTACGCGATGTTAATCGACTTTTACACATAACTGACATGAAATTATTCAACTAATACGGTGGAAAGTAATAAAAAAATTATAACATAATACAAAAAATATAAGTGACAGAAAATAAAAAGATACAAAATGTGAAGCATTCTCATTAAAATAGAGTTTCGAGTGGAATTATAACCAGTTTTCTGGCAAACAAAGAAATCAACATTCGCATTTGCGGTCGTACAAACTTTATTCGAACAATACAAACTTCTCTCTCTCTCTCTCTCTCTTTTTTTTCTTGACGTTGTTTAAAATATATTAAATAATTTCATAAGTATTCCAAGTCTCTCAAATACCGAAGATTGTTCGAACTTTATCCGAGCAAGCTTCCGAAGAAACGTACGGTGCAATATCTCAAACCACGATAGCTTGAGTGCACGGTGGCACGGTGCTCGAGCTAGTAGTAAACCGCCGCGCTAGGTCAGACAAAATGTACCGCTGCACCGTATAGTGGGGCGAAAAACCCGAAAACCGAACATTCGAGCCAAAAATTAAATTTGTAAAAATATCTAGTTTTGGCATGTTTTCTTGTTCTTCATACTTCAATCTATTTCAAATTATGTTTCAGTTATCGAATATGATTGAAACTTCTACTGAAAATATTTAGCCAAATTCACACTTGGTGCAACTAGTAAGGGTCCACCGTTTCGATACATATTGCGTTAGAGAATTGTCACATTAAAACTATACAAGAACAATAGCTGAAACTTTTACAACATAAAAAGTAATGTTCAAACTTGGTATTAAAATTATCGTCATATTAAAAAAATATCTGAATATGCATAACAAATATATTTAAAATAATGGAATTCATACAATCGGGATTCAATACTTCAAGCTACCAAAAAGTTTACAAAAAGTTTAAGGTCCAAAACGGCCCAAAATATGCAATATACCAATTGATTGCGGAAAGTATCTAGTTTATAAAAATCTCTATTGTGCCCCCCTCCTAGGTCCCTCTTTTATTAAAAAATTGCTCTAACTTTTGTTAACTTATCGACTTTTGGAAATTTCAAAATCAACAAATTAATAAAAATCAAGGCGCTATTTTAACAATATATTCTTGAGACTAAATAAAGCAAGAAAGTCTAGTACCACTTTTTCTTCCGACGAACAGTTAGCGAGATATCGTTAAACATTAAAAAAGTTGCCAAGTTTTCCTTAAATATCTCAAAAAATATTAGGCAAATAAAAAAATGTTTGAGGCAAAAGTTCAAATTAATTGATGATATGAAATAAATTGAAAAAAATGATATAATAAAAAACTGCGGTTCCTATTTAAGAAAAGTGACGATTAGTGATATCTCGAAAATGACGCCATCTGTAAACAAAATGATGTAGTTGTTATATGTCTCCTTTGAAACTGTACAATTTTTGTCTTAAACATTTTTCAGTATCTTCCATATTTTTCGAGATATTTGCCTAGCATTTAAAATGGGACATTATATATATTTTTTATTTTAGTAAAATATATTATTTTTATAGAATTTGATGTCTGTGATGTACCATAAATACATCCAATTATATAAAAATATACAGGGTGTCCCATTTTAATGTCTCACCCCAAATAACACTTCAGTATTGAAGTTTCAAGGAAAATGATCTCAATAAAAATTGTAGGGATTTAAATGAACTACCTTATGATGACCTTGACTTTGATCTTGACCTCTATTTTCAAGGTCATTTGAAGGTTTTTTAAATGGAAAACTTTATTTTTTATTACACTGTTTTTTTCTACTAGTTAATTTGAACAACTTTTGTCTAAAACATTTTTTTATTTGTCTAATATTTTTTGAGATATTTGAGGAAAACTTGATAACTTTTTCAATATTTAACTTACGATATCTCGCTAATTATTTGGCGGAAGAAAAAGTGGTACTAGACTTTCTTGCTTTATTTAGTCTCAAGAATATATTGTTAAAATAGCGCCCTGATTTTTGTTGATTTGATGATTTTGAAATTTCCAAAAATCATAAAGTTAACAAAAGTCAAGGCGCTATTGTAACAATATATTCTTGAAACTAAATAAAGCAAGAAAGTCTAGTACTTTTTCTACCACTTTTTCTTCCGACGAACAGTTAGCGAGATATCGTTAAACATTAAAATAGTTACCAAGTTTTCCTCAAATATCTCAAAAAATATTAAACAAATAAAAAAATGTTTTAGACAAAAGTTGTTCAAATTAACAAGTAGAAAAAACAGTGTAATAAAAAATAAGGATCCCCATTTAATAAACGCAAGTTGACCTTCAAATGACCTTGAAAATAGAGGTTAAGGTCAAAGTCAAAGTTATCATAAGGTAGCTCACTTAAATCCCTACAACTTTTATTTAGATCATTTTCCTTGAAACTTTAATACTGAAGAGTTATTTGGGGTGGGACATTAAAATGGGACATCCTGTATAGTGTATATTCATGAAGTATGTATAGAACATTTTATAAGACAATATTTTTTGTTTGGAATTTGTGCAACATCCTATATCAGGTATGTAAATATGAAACCGGAATTTTTGTATAGAAAATACTCGTTTATTGTATGAAAATGATAAAACATATTTTATTCGAAGTATTGCCCATTGCTAGCTATACATTTTTCCCATCTGTCTGACAATTTTTGGATGCCACGCCAAAAAAACTGTTGCTCTTTTGAGGCAAACCAATCATCGAGCCATTTCGTACATTTTCGTAAGAACTGAAGCGCTGCTCAGCAAGTGCGTGTCCCATCAATGCAAATAAGTAGTAATCGGACGGAGCAAAGTCTGGTGAGTAAGCCGCATGCGAAAGTATTTCCCAACTAAACGCCTTAATCGTTTCCTTGACCAGTTTTGCTGTGTGTGATGGTGCATTATCATAAAACAAAATCACTTTGTGTTGCCTTTTTTGATATTCTGGTCGTTTTTCACGCAAAGCTTGATTCAAATCGATCATTTGTTGTCGGTAGCGTTCAGTATTAACGGTTTCGCCAGGTTTTAGCAGCTCATAATAGATCATAGCCTTTTGATCCCACCAAACACAGAGTATTGTCTTCCGTCCACAGCGATTTGTCCTTGCAGTCGATGTCGATGGTTCGCTTGGAGTTACCCATGATCTTTTACGCTTAGGATTCTCAAAATATATACACTTTTCATCGCTAGTCACAATTCGATGGAGAAATGACTTTCTTTTGTACCTGGCGAGCAGCATTCCGCAAGTGGTTTTTCGGTTTTCCTGCTGTCTTTCATTCAGTTCATGTGGAACCCATTTTACCATCTTCTGGATCTTTCCCATGGCTTTCAAACGTATGGAGACGGCTTCTCGTGTCACATTTAATTGATCCGCGAATTGTTATTGCGTTTGAGCGTCATCCTCATCCAACAATGCTTGCAATTCGCTGTCTTCAAACTTTTTCGGTGGTCTTCCACGTTCTTCGTTTCTCACGTCAAAATCGCCACGTTTGAATTTTTTAAATCACTCAAAGCACTGTGATTTACCAACAGCATGCTCACCGTAAGCTTCGACAAGCATTCGATGCGATTCTGCAACAGTTTTCTTCAAATGGTAACAGAAAATCAATGTTGTCCGCAAATCGTAGCTTCCAGGCACAAAATTCGACATGTTCAACGTTATTACAAACTATGCTGTTGTATGAAACTTGTATTGTTGTGAGTTGAAAATCTTTGTCAGATGTCAACAAATGGAAATGGCGTCAATGACGCGATTTGACGGTAA